TGATAGAACATGACATTGGTCTTTGGCCTTTTGCAATTGAAGTAATAAAACCTGTAACTGGATATTAGTGTTCAGTGATTCATTTTAAGACTACAGTTTTTTCTTCACTCTTTTGAACGGAAGAATTGCCATCGAAGGAAATACATTTTGTTCTAAAGGAAGAATCACCATTTCCAATATTCCCCAGAAGTATATAACACACATTCCTTTTCTTGCACTTAACAAAAAAAGCTTTTCTGCGATTGTTTAAAGTACATAATTTACTTGATGCTTCCAGTAAGAGAAAGATGTTAGTTTTTAATGAGGATAACATAAAACATTCACCTGTCAGTAATACCACAATGCTGTATGCTGTGAGAATACTTAGTATGGTAATTACTTCTCTGGATAGACTTGATGATGGCCTCATTTCTCTGAATTATTTTTTGTTTCTAAGGATGAGAAAGAGAAAATATGTAGGCTTACCAGGGCACTAAGGAATAGGATTGTCTCCATTCCTACGAAGAGTTCTAATTTTCATCCTGTTGAGTTTAAGAAGTTCTTTAGTTTCCTTTAACTTTGACTTTTGAAAAATTAATTCTTCAATTGGATAAATCTTCCCAAAGTAAATCCAAGAGGATAAGTCCTAGAAGTTGATAAATGGAAAGATATTTAATAAAGACATTTTCCCCTCTGGCGCATTAAACATTTGTAACCATCAGAATTCTATGTATGTAATTAGTAATTTACAATGTAATATCTCATCTTGAATATCTGTATATTTCAACCCATTATGACAAGATAGCAGGCAGAGCCTGACATTAGAAGAATCGCATCGCCTAGGTGAAAATGAATGAAATACATTTTACAATCCTTTGATTTCCTCCTAACTCAGTGGGGCTTTGATTCCTGGTTTAAATTTAAAAGATTTATTATGATTCTATTCGCAATAAAAATATGCTCATTTTCCAAGTAGTGATACTCTAATTAAAAATTGAGGAAGAAATTACTGTAACACAGTGGAATGTAGAACTTTAAGAGCCTTCAGAAAATTACCAATATAAACAATTGGTTATTAAGGGCTGATGATGAATCTTCTTTTGTTCTGGCAAGATATAAGAGAAAAATCACTCCGAGAGTTATCTCTCTTTGTCAGTGATAAACGAAGATGGAGATGAAGCCTTATCTTGGCATGTGTACACACCATTCATAGTGAGACATTTATGAAAACCTCGGAGCAGAATTTGGCTCTGCATTGAGACTGTGATGAGCCCCAGCTGAGTCCCTTAAATCACCTAAAGAAGCAGTGTCCTATGTTTAATGCCATCTCCCAATTTTTTAATGATATCTGAAGACACCGAGATCACACTCTCTGCTTATGTCTCCAGTGACCCTTTCCGGACCTTTGGTCATGATTTAAGCCTTCAAAAATGAGACTCATTCAAGATGATTTCACATTGTTCAGAAGATTCAAACTATTTCTCTCTCTCTTCATCACATTCCATCTCTTTGAGACATGGGCTTGGCTGTTTCATTGTCCTAATAAGCTGAAATACCATCAAAGGCCTATTTTCATACTTTTGTTCCTTTCTAGTCTCTGCATGCAAGGCCCTGGGAGCATGGCAAAGTCACAGGCTTTTGTGCTTCTCTTCAATGCTAACTGCCCCACATCCCTTCAGTTATAGGTGCTACCACCCTTTTATATTCCTTTATTCCCTAACAAACATTTCTTTGGATTCTCATTTATACTAAGAGTCAAATAACTGATAACAACCAAGCAATGGTTCTAAACCCAGGGTGCACATCAGAATCGCGTGGGGAGTAAAGATTCACATGGTTTCATTCTATTTCAGACTTAGTGAATCAGAATCACTAGGAATAGGAACCAGGAATTCTTTTTTCTTTTTTTTTTTTTTTTAAGCCCATATGCATTCCTGATTAAGAATTACTGACCTTCCATTGGATCTGCATTTTAGCAGGTTCAAAACCTGAAACTAAAGCCACTATGATCAACTGAAAATTTTTGAGCAGCTATGAAAGAGAACTAAATGCAGAAAGCCAAGAATTCCCAGGACGTAGTAGGTAGAGGGCTTCGGCTCCAAATTCCTCGCCTATAACAACTGCTTTTTTTTTTTTAACAACAAAAACAAATTTTTTTCTAAAGTTTTTTTTCTGACTAAAAACCATGTTCTTTATAGAAAACGTGAAAAAAAATAAAGAAGGAAATTAAAACTATAAGACATAGAACGGTTAACATTTTGGCTTATTTTCTTGCATTCTATAGGCGATTATTTTTATTTTTTATTTTTGGTTTTGTTTTTTTTTTTTTTACAAAATTGGCCTCATCTTTTTATATTCTTTCCTGCCAGTAAACATTCATTTTGTTCTATGAATGTACGTCCTGTATCTGATTCTCTCTGTCTCTGTCTCTGTCTCTGTCTCTCTCTCTCTCCTCTCTCTCTGTCTCTCTCACTCTCTCTTTCTCTCTTACACACACACATACACAAACACACACACACAATGCCTCCAGTGTTTTATGTGCTCAATAAACGTGTTCAGACTGAGTAAATTTGGTCACCAAATTTTGGACTCCTTTCTGGAAGTTCACAGAAACACAGTAACAAGTATTATAATGACTCCTATTCCTTGCTTTTTAAATCAGCTTCAAAGATTATAGTTTTTAGGATGATCGTGTAAAAAATATAAAATCAAATTACTAAATACAATTTGAGTAGCTCTTTGCTCTTTCTGAGTAACTCAATGGCTATTTGTAAATTTGAAAAAAATATATCTTCTAAGAAATGAGGCTTCTGCTTCTATCTTATTTCTTTCAAAGAATATCACTTAAAATGCCATTCAGCAGCTACAACAGTCAGGATTAAGTTTGGTTGCCTATATCATTAATCCCACATAATAACAGTTTAAACAAGAAAATGTCCAGAGATAATCTAGTGCTAGCATGATGGTTCCATGGTCAATCAGATGCTCTACCACCTTTTGTGTGTAGCTTTCATCCTTAACGTCTACTCGTAGTGAAATATGGCTGTTGGAGTACCGCCCTTTACATTCATCTTCCAGGCAAGACCAGAAAGGAGAGAGGGAAGGGGAAAAGAAAGAGCATCTTGGCCGAGTTAGTGCCCTTTAGGAAGTAGTCCCAGAAGACATACCATCAATTTCTGTTTACACTTCAGTTGAGCCCTAGCTTTAAGGGAAGCTAGGGAATGTAGTTAGGTTGCTGCTAAGAATATGATTAGGGTTCTGTTAATAAGAAAAAAAAAATAGGCAACAGATACTGTATAGACAGCTAGCAGTCTCTTCTTCCACAGCAAACTCTCATGTCATTTGACAGTTAAGATGTCTTTGTCGGCAGATAACAAAATACCTAACAGTAAGTGGCCTAAACAGTAAATTTTATTCTACAGACTAAGTTAGACTGGTCCAAAGTTGCTCCAGAAGTTCCAGGATGTTATCAAGGCCCGGGCACCTTTCATCTTTCTGCTATGCCATTCATAATATACCAACGTCTTTCTTTATGGTCAAAAGATGGATCACAAATAGAGCTACTGTCATCACGCCTCCCATTACAACATCCAAACATTGGACGGGGCAAGTTTTCATTTGTGTCCCTTTGAGGAAGAGACCTCCTAGCTTACTCACTGGGCATCACTGCTCATGGTTAAACCCATCATTAGCAAGAGTAATAGAATTACAACAATTGGTTTAGAGTAATGAATCAGCGATTTCCTCCTGGGACTGAGTATGTGGACAGGTAGTTACTTGAACAAAATCAGGGCTCTGCCACCAAGGAAGAAAGGAAGCACAGTTGTCAGGGCAGTGGTGAGAATGGCTGTGGAGAGATCAACATTTCTGTCTGCCACACTTACTCTGTTTTACAGAACACAGTGATTTACAACTGTTCTAGTTAGGAAATTCCATATCTCACTCATTACTTAAGTGGCTTTTCTTTCAAAAGAGCAAAATACAAGCTTGAGATCAAACAATGAGTCATTAAACATTAACACACAGGAACGGACTTCTATTTCTGTAGTTGTAGGAAAAAGGAAAGTTACCTTTTGATGAATAGTATCAGTACTCATTAAGTGTTAGACTTTTAGCACTGTGATGACATTGGGGAAAAGGAGATAAAAAGTTCCAATTATTCTAAAATTCAAATAATTATCAAATAATTTCTGTTTCTCCCATACAGATGAAAATACATTTTAATTGGATGTTTCTCTTACACTGCTGAGGACGTTAACTGGTCAATGAAAAATTATCCTTTATTTTCCCCTCAGTAATATCATTTTTTGTGCCCTATTGTAAGTGCCCCCATCTCTTGTTCCAAATAAACCAACCCAGCCTTGTATATTGAAGATTTGAATTTCCTTAGCTCCAAGAAGAAATATTTGACCTGAATTCTTAAAACCTAGACCAGTAGGGGTTTCAGACTTAGATTGTCCCAGATTGGAGAAAGAGGTGTTTCTGGAGGTTCAGGAAGAAACAAGTGAACCCATATGGGAGAGTTAAATTCCTTAAGACTGAGTAGGGTGGTAGAGCATGGTGGCAGGTTCTACAAGGTGTGTGATCTACTCCCATCCAGTACTCTGGAGGTGACTGGTCATCTGATAGACCAGCATGGGTCCCTCTGAAGGCTGAACCTCTAGCCCTGTTGCTTGCAGAGCAGGCTCTGGCCAATAAATTTCTGTGGTGGCATTCTTGGGTCCCACCTCCAAACACTGGTGCTTGGCAGCAGAGGATGTAATTAAAGAAGCATCAGGAAAGATGGCAATGATCATAAAATTAGGGCCGCCTTTATTTTCCTGGAATCGAGTAGGTTCTTGGATTCTTATAATTCGATGGAGAGAGGGAGGGAGTCTCTAAGTGTCAAAAAATGATAGTGTTTATTCAATATTCATTCTTCCTTACTAACAAAACTGCTGTGTTACCAGAAGCCATCGTACCTGCCTTAAAAATGTCATTTCTTGTGCTTTCTCCCACGTGTGACCAATGACAATAAAAAGAAGTCAAGAAGCACTTTTGAAAAAGTTCCTTTGCTCTTTGGACTTCCCCTTCTTCCTGCTGGGAATGAAGAAATCATGTCTGGAGATCCAACAACCATCTTTTAACTCGGAGGATAGAAATCACTCATTAAAGATTGCAGAGCGGAAATATAAGAAGCGCCTTCGTTCCTCGTGACTTCCTAGAGCATCCATACCAGCTTGGGCTGCCTCCCTCAGAGAAATTAATCCTCGTCTGTTTTAGCACTATAGTTGAATCTTGTTGGCAGAAGCATTAACCTCCTAACCATATAGTTGTTACAACAACCTTGGAGGTATTATTATGACACATCCCATTTTTTGCATGACAAGGGACTGATAAATCATGGAGTTAGAATTCAAACACATTTTTGTCTAGCTCTAAAGCACATATTTTTAATCATCAAGCTCTCCAGCAAATCAAGTTGGGACAAATAAGGTTAGACAGGGACAGGGGTGGGAAAGGGGCAGTCCAAAACCAAAGCAAGGACCGGGTGACCAGAAACCAGTGGGAAGTACCCTTGGAGGGGTATGTGTGTATAAGTGTGTATAGGTGTGTGCGTGTGCAGTAACAAGGCCCAAGAAACACAATCATGCTGCTGAGTTGCTGCTCCATCTGCTTTTTAGCCCTGATCATTGCACTTGAAGTATTTCTGAGCTTGAAACCTGAAACCACAATGAGAAATATGCCTAGTAGTTAGTCCACTAATTGAGTTAATGTAGATGCCAATCCTGATAAGTCAAATCCTAAAGAAGAAATTTTGATTTGAATTAACTAGTTTAATTGTCTGCGAAATCCAAATTGGCCAAATAATTTCAAGTTAATACTTTCATTTAATCTGTGTAGATCCTCCCACCCTGAATAAAAATGTACTATTTGTATCCTTAGAGTTCTCACCTCTATGTAATGAGTATGACTCCTTTCACGGTGTGCAGTACAAATGTCCGGGGACGTTTGGAACTGTTGGGGGACATTTAGCAATGTCTGGAGACATTTTTGACTGTCACAATTGGGCAATGCTCCTGGCATCTAGCCAATAGAGGCCAGCGATGCTGCTAAATATCCTGCAAAGCACAGGACAGCACCCTATAACAAAGAATGACCCACAAGCCAAAATGTCACTAGTGTGTATCACTGTTGAGAAACCATGATCTAGTCAAACAGTACTTAGTGAAGGGAGAATTAGGCATGTTAACCTGTTAATGACATTCCAATCAGTTCTTTCAAGGTCCAAAGTAATATTTAAACCCGGCCTCTTGATTCATCAAATTAAGCGGGTAATTAATCATACTCTATTTCACTTTTTCCATTGCAGATGCAGCCGGAAAGCTAGCTGATAGGTTTCTAAAATTCTTCATCCTTTCTCTTTCAAGTCTTTGTGTTTACTGGAAGGTCATTAAGTTGCTTTGCTTTCGAAGTCCATTTATTACTTCTAAATCTAGTGTAGTCTATTTAGTCTTTCTTAATGCTGTCTAGTGAAACATTAATGAGAAGCTCACGCATAGTCATAGAATTTGTCTGATTACCTCATTAATTTTTAATGAGTTTGCTGCTTACACTTCAAGATAACATAACAGAAATTAGATAATGTAATTCTTTCTGGGTGGAGTGGCCTTAAATTTGGCTCTAAATTATTAATCGTGTAGGCTGAGGAAATTACAGACTCTTTCGCCTATAAATTTACCTAAATCTTTGACTATATAACTTCATCAATATATTCTCTTCCCAGAAATTTCTCATAATCAATTATTGTGCCTGAAAACATCTAATTTTCTTCAGAGTGAAACCTTCAGAGTTGAGCTTCATTATAAGATTCGAACTTGAGCCTATTGTTAAGTATTATAATCACATCAGTTTCTTAAGAAAAAAAAATGAGTCATTATTTTAAATATCAATTTGTGGCTTCTAGAATCCAGGAAATATCTTTAATTCAATCTATTTCTGTACTTAGATCATCTAAGTTTATTATAATTGTTTTAAAATTATCATCTTATGGACTTGGGGCATAAAATTTCATTAATATGCTACTAGTTTTGCAGCTATTGAATAATCTAAGTCCCATGGTAGCAATGATTATAAGATTACTCGGCCAGTAAAAGTTTATTTTACAATTGGAAACATCTCAGTACAATAAAGATTAAATTAGTTGTTCTAGTCAATAAACCTAGAACTTCTGCATCCCAGCCCTTTTCTAAGAGGGTCAATGATTTCTTTCCAGTAGAGCAAGAATAATAATGAAATTCAGACTGTAAAGATTATGCACCCCTATATAATCCTGTCTCTAACAGTCCTAACTACCCCCATGCTAAAAAAACAAAACACAAAAAAACGAATTTCTGTCAATTTATGGTAGCTATAAATCTATTCAGGCTGTGTGTTCATGTGTTTAGTGTAGAGTCATAAAACATTACAAAAGAAGCATTCTACCGAATTGACCAGCCTTGGCTCAACAACACAGGAATACAGCGGGTGACTAATACTTCCTCGCCTCTGCTAATCCAGCCGTCATCTCTCTCTGCCAACACCAGGTGGTCTGACCGAAAGCTGGAGTAATAAAGCTCAGTGTGTACTTTGCGGTACCACTTTACAACGTGGCTGCAGTGGAAGTGCAACAAATAAGGCAGTCGAGATGGTCATTTTGGTCATACAGATCAAATTATTGGGGTTCCAGGGGCTTAAATGGTCATATCCTTTTGCTGAATCAGTTGAGAGATAGACCCAGAAGTCAAATGGAGATCAAAATATGAAATGTATTGCTAGTCAACCTGGACTAGAATAAACTGCTTGAACCCACGACAAAGTCAGACTTCCTGTTCTCCTTCCCTGAGATGCGCACTGAGGGAGGGCCTTCTGCAGGATGAAGCTTGCTTTTGTGCTTGTCACCTGAAGTGAAGAATGTGTGTGTCCTGTGGACAGGCTAGTTGAGAAAAGATGGATGCCAATAGCTCCATACTCTTCTACCGTGGGAAGAGGCCAGCAAAATAAGGAAGGCAAAAACTTCCATTCAATGTTTTTGAGATCCTGGAAGTTCCTACTTTATAAATCAAGGCTGGAAAGCCCTGAGAAGGAAAATATAATACCCACCTACTCCAAAATCTTACTGCTTTGCAAAACCAGGGACTTAATTTTCAGTTTTCTGTAGTCTATCTTTAGGTGTAGAAATAGAAATAGTCTTTATCCTTAAAAAAGACTTTGCTTTTAAGATCATTTGAAATACACTATAAATTGATGGCTCAGGCAATATTGGGTAAAATATTCAACTTCATCAACCTGTGCTTTTTTGTGGAGATGGCCTGATTATATTAACTTAAATTATTGAGTAAATCTCCAATGTCTCTTGCTTTTGATGACTAGATTAGACATTGAAAATGCCGGAATAAAAATTAATACATGTGAATGGTCACCAAGGAAGGCCTCTCCAAAGAATCATTTAAGCTGAAACTAAGGATAGGGAGTAGCCAGCCACGTGGATAGAACATTCCAACTAAAGAAATTGTGTGTGCAAAGAAAAAAGTGATAGGCAGAACTCGAAGGAAGGACAGTGCAGCTGGAACCAAGGGACGGTGGAGGAGGGAGGCAGGATTTAATAAGTAAAATGCTTCATACGCCATTGTAAAAAGTAGGAGTTTTATTCTCAGTGAAATGAATGGTTTTAAGCAGGGAAGTTACATAATCAGATGTTTGTTTTAAGATCACTTTTGCTGTTTTGGTGTCCAGGCAAATGATGGTAAAAATCTGACTAAAGCGGGGTTATGGGGATGGTGAGTAAAGAACAGAGGAGTAAAGGAGATGTATTTGGGGATAAACTGTGGGATTTCTTGATATTGGGTTTGAGAGACGGAAGGAAAGGGAAGAATCCAGGATGAGTGCTAGGTTTCTGGATCAAGAAATGGGGGGAGTCGTTACCTAACTTACAGGCCTGGGTAAGCCTTGGGAAGTGAGGCAAAGGTTGTTCATGGGGGATGTGAAGCGGTGATTCCAGAACGCTTTTTCGGCTCCCCCTCGAAGGAAGCTGGCCAAGGGGGTGACTGTGGGAACAGCTCCCAGTTTTCTCTTCCTGCCTCTATGATCTCTTTCCTTTGGACTTCTCCCCGAGATGGAAGTCCAGGTGAGTTCTGTGCTTTGAGAGGGGACATCGCTAACTTCTCCATCTTAAACCCTCTTGTCCTGAAACTTCTCAGACCCAGCCTTAGGTCTGAGAGACTGATCCTCCCTGGAAGCCTGCACTTCATGCACCGAGGGCTCGTGGAGCCATCAGCTGTTCTCACTTCTTAAATATGTGTATTATTTCCTAGGGCCGCCAAAGAAGTTATCACAAACTGGGGGGCTTTACACAGAGGAAACGTATTCTCTCACAGTTCTGAAGGCTGACAGTCCCAAATTATGGTGTGGGAGGGCCACGTTCCCTCCAAAGTTTCTAGGGGAGGGCGTTTCCTCGGCTCTTTTGGCTTTTGATAGCCCCAGGTGTTCCCTGGCTTCTGACAGCATCACTCTAGTCTCGCCCCCATCTTCACATGGTGGTCTTTCCTCTGTGTCTCTGTCAACTTTCCCTCCCATAAAACACCAGTTATATCAGATTAAGGACCTTCCCTATTCCAATATGGCCTCATTTTAACTTAATTAATCACACCTGTAATGTCCTTATTTCTAAATAAGATCATATTTTGAGGTACTTTAGGGCTAGGGCTTCAATATGTCTTTTGGGGGGACATGATTCAACCCATAAAAGTATACAATTTGCATTTCTTTTAATTACAGACCATGTGATATCTATCTCTCGAATTTTTCTACCTGCCATCCTGCCATCCACAGTGGACCACGATGGACTGGTCCCACTGGGGCATTCCTACCATGCTATCCTAGTAGCCTCAAAAAATTCCTGAGGTTCCAGCAGTGATACACCACACTGTCACATAATCAGGAGACCTGCTTCTAATTTGTAATATGAAAAATAATCATTAAATATGCTCAAAGTTTGTGTCGGCCTGGTCAATGAGTGTTTGCCATGTAGGCAGGCTACGTGGGAAATCGGGTTATCAGACACTTGCTTGGAAAGAATGGAATAATCTGAAGGTGTGAGGGTGGGAGGCAGGAGTTCTACAGTAGGGACACTGGGTGACATCCACCCAGGACTACAGTAAGAAGACAATTAAAAGGGCCCCAACGGCAATCACTGCTTAGACAGCACTGCTAGTCTTGTCTCCAAGTGATTCCTACATCCCATCCCAATTATTTGGATACATATTAATATTTTCAATCTGATTAGTGTCTATTCCTACTGCTTTGGGGACCATTTGGTCCCATTAAGGTACTTATTAATCTCTGCTCTGATCCATTAAGAGTTCATTTGCAGTTTAATTCTAAGAAGGCAACTTCATTTTCATGGTTTTGAGTGAAGCAGTGACAGACACACTGAAGAGATTTTGTTTTTCTTCAGTTTCTTTGCGTTCAAAAGAGCAGAGAGCATATTCTGATGGATCAGAGGAAAGGTAGAGGTCTCAACAAAGAGCCTACTTTAGTGGGACGGTACACTGCAATGAACTCTCAGGAATGTGAGTAGATGATAAAAAGACCCCAAGGAAATGAGAGACAAATGAAAGCTAACTTTACTTTGCAATTTTCCCCTAGAGCTAATTCTGACAGTATCCTTCTACCTCTTTACAAAGAGCAAGCAGTGAAAACTGAGATGACAGTGATGTGTTTTTTTTTTTTCTTGTAAAGCTGGGCTCAATTCGAGACAGAATATTAATGGCAAAACGCTCAATATCTCATTACCAATCCCTGTGGGCATATAGTCCCTAGAAAAGATAAATATTTGAATAGGTGATGATAATATGTATGATAATTTGTAGTCAGCATTCCACATGCATTTTCATTGAGT